AGCTATCCTTACATAGTATTTACTAATCTCTAATCAGACATAACCGCTATCCTTACATAGTATTTACTAATCTCTAATCAGACATAACCGCTATCCTTACATAGTATTTACTAATATCAGCGTTAGATTAAATCTAATCTTTAGTTTTCAAATCCATGTTTATTTTGTCTTAGTTAGAATTTTACATAAATAAATTTTCTTGATTTTCAACGTATTTGCTATGAATTGAAAAACATTGGAATAAATGATATTTTTATCATTGTAGAAAAAGGCTCTGCAAGCAAAATAGTAAAATTACTATTAATGCAACTTATCATTTAAGTTCATATTTGTCAGTAATTAAAGCTTACACGAAAAGAAACTTTAAGGATGTTGTTTAATAAAGCGGAACATTTATTTATTTGTTTTTTTATAATTGGATATACTTAGTTACCAAACAGATATAACATTCGTTCACCAGTTGCAAAATAAAGCCGATGTAACTGGTTATAGAGTGAAACAAAGTAATTATTGTTTTCTATGTGTCATAGAAAGTAATTTACGGAACAATATTTGTTTATTCAACTGTGATACGAGAACTTATCACTTACTTTTACATATATTTACCGACAATCTAATCACTGACACAAGAACATAGTAAAAGTAATGATTGTAAATAAATACCTCGAAAGTACAATTGGACTGTATTCTTGTTACTTGTTATATCTATCACTATGTAATTATCATAATACTTAAGTGACAAGTTTATGTCTCTGTCTTGTATTTATTATCGCAAATTTTCTAAATGACAAAATAAAATTCAAAAATTGTAATTTAGTTGACCCAGATTGTAAGATAATTCTCTCGTGACTTCCTTTGACCGGAAGATGTACAAAATGTTTCATCATAAAAATAAAAACTGGGTCAACAAATCACCTTGTTCAAAACAGTAACATAATCACTAAGAAAAAAAAAAGTATCCAACTGATGCAACTAATTCTGATAACACGAAACGGTAAACATAAATACATCGTAAAGTTGACGTCCTCACATTTACAATCTATTCTAGCAAATGTTAACGTTTCTACACTGGTTGCTCAACCTTAGAATAAAACGTTTATACGAAACGCCTATTGTTTGTGCTTACTTAGATTAATTAGGTTATTTTAGACAATTGGAGATTTCGGTTAGGGTTGTATTTTGTTGGCAAAAGAAATTTGTTTTCAATAAATTAACAAAACTTTACAAAATATACTTTTTAATGACATAATGAATTATAAATTCAGACAAAAGAGTGCACCTTAGTTTAAGTGACCACACGGCGGGTCATTTTGTTTACTTCATAGCCTACACTTTTTAGCCCTCAAATTATGGATTTGTTTATAAGCTGTTCATTAGTGCTAGAATTCACATATTGCATCATATTCAGCAATTTTATGTTTTTGCCTGTTACCATTATCACTCTGAACAAATGACACAATTAATTGTATGGCATTACTCACTTTTCACGAGGCCCGACATGGCCAGGTGGTTACGGCACTCGACTCGCAATCTGAGGGTCGCGGGTTCGAATCCCCGTCACACCAAACATGCTCGCCCTTTTAGCCGTGGGGGCGTTATAATGTGACGGTCAATCCCACTAATCGTTGGTAAAAGAGTAGCCCAAGAGTTGGCGGTGGGTGATGATGACTTCCCTCTAGTCTTACACTGCTAAATTAGAGACGGCTAGCGCAGATAACCCTCGTATAGCTTTGCGCGAAATTCACAAACAAACACTTTTCACGAAAAATATGTAGAAAATTTCAGCAATAATTTATAAAGTTAATTCCACTATTTTCGTCATTTTTGTGTGGCATACGTTATTAGGGGTCAAGTAATCAAAAAATGTTATACTCCCACAGACAGTATGGTTCATGAAAAAGTCTAGAAAAATGAGTATAAAAAGCCAAATGGGGTCAGTTAAACGTTCACTTTTAACATTTTCTCCCTTTTGTTTTAGATGTATTATCATGTAATTTTAATGATACCATGTTCAGGGGACTTTACAAATCAAACTGTGTTTTCGAATACCAAAAACCACAAGGTAACATACTTATCGTACTGGTTATCCACTTAGAACACAACTGCAGTAACTAACTTTGGTTGAATCTTAATTTCAACTTGTAACGTTTGAATAGTTCATAAATTTTGACAACTAACTGCTTCATATCCTTAATATTTTGTAATTCTTATCTCACTCAAATGTATAAAAGCATGGTCTATATTATAATAAAAAATGTAACCTAGATGCCCACACTTTATTATAAATAAGATATTTTGTAAGAAAATGATATTGAAAAACAGTGTGCTTAACAGTTACGATTTAAACGTCGAAAGATGGCGAAGCTTCAGAAACAACTAGGCATAACATTTGTGATTATAAACAAGTAAACTGCAGATGTTTTTTTTTACACATCCTTTTTAATTTGTCCGTTTCGAATTCAAAATCAGAACATGTCAAGTAACTTTTAAAAGGGTTTAACATGTTTCCAAATTACCTGATTCAATCAACATGCTCAAACTGACACAGAAACAAGAATGAAAACAGTGTTGATGATGGAAAATATGTATTCCAAAACATCATTGACTACTTTGAAGGTATTTTAACATGCTATTTACCACATCAATGGTGTTTCTTCATCTCATAAAGTTAGGATTTCTCTCAATGAATCCGCTAAATAAGATGTAATTAGGGGCTCAAAATGACTCGTATATTTTACATATAAATAGTAACATTTTCTTATTTTAACATGTCGAGACACATTTTGATAATTAGGTTTTTCATGTAGAAAAAAAAGAACCTACGAAATTTTCATAACAAATAAAGTACTAGTATGCATTGGACTGACTCACCTTTCTCACCTTTAATATATTGTATCACAGTTAACTCACTCACCCCCTCCCACTTTCAAAATGGCACAATACAATCAAATGAATCAAGTTATTTTACGGTATAGCTAAATAACCACGTTTTTTCTTGTGTCATCATGTCATCACGAAACAGATTTGCCCTCTTCTTACAGCGAAACCATGAACACAAAGTCAACTGACTCACCTCTGCAGAAACTACAGCATTTTCTTTTGTGCGATACGACACTATGCAAAGATGTGATACTCTAATTCGCTTTGAAAAAGAACATGATGCCATTATTCTCCAAGAATCATTCCTAATGTTGTATTTTAATGTTTTCCTTTTCACATAACGGTACGCTGACAAACTCTAGCAACTGTTTAATTTCGTAATATATGTCTATAACATTAAAGT